TTCAAAATTGTGTAGTATTGTAATAGAATTATATGTTTTTAAATGAACGGATTTGATTTTATTAAGATATTTCAGCGATTGCTCTGCGTACCACTACAGGCAGCTTGCGTACCATCAGTGGTACACGTACCAGTTCGAGAATATCGAACTAGACTCATTGTTAGCAGATACTCAATATCTGGGGGTAAAATGGTGATTGATTAAATAGTTGATATCTAATCGATGAATGGTTTGTTCTAAAAGCAGGTGGGTTCCTCGCTCAATGACACATTTTCAGGCAAAGACGACTCTTGTTTAAGTCTCTGTGTGGTTGGGAAAACCTTCTGACTGCTGTGAGACTCACTCACTACTCATCCTCTGGTGATCGCTTTTAGAAGGTCAATAGTGTGTGTGTGTGTGTGCACAGACAGTGTGTGGGTTTGTTTGATAACAGGACTCTGCCGAAACTGACTGCACTGTCTGAAGTATGAGACATCTGCTGTCACACCCCCACAGTGTGTGTGCGTGTGTGTGTGTGTGTGTGTGTGTTTGTTAAAGTTTGACAAAGATTTATAATGTTACTGTCAGGTTATTTTTAAAGAGGGTATTTTGAGGTTTAAAGGTGGTTTTAGGCTGTGATTCAGTTTCATTGTGTGTGTGTGTGTGTGTGTGTATGTGTAAAGTTAAATACATGTGTTATGTGTGTGTGTTTTAGATCAACAGACAACAAAGGGGCCATCACTTCCCTGCAAACAGTGGTTGTTTGTATGTGTGGCTATAAACACACCTCTGTATGTGTGTTTAGGTGTGTGTGTGTGTGTGTGTGTGTGTGTGTGTGTCTGAGTGTTTCCCACTTCCTCATGTGACTCACCTTGTGACATCATTGTCTATGTGAGGCAGGATTGGTTAAAAGGCGGCCGGAGGCTCACATTCTCAGTGCAGTCTAACTCTTAGTGGATCCATCATTTTCTCTCCATATAGAGTGATTTCTTTTGTTGTTGTTTATCTGTGGATTGAAGCTGTAAACATGTCTGTCTGCCTCTGCTAAGGTAAGATCTACCAGCTGCTGTGTGAAGGTATATCATCAGTTTTAGGTATTAATGTTAAAACTTTTTGTACAATCATTTTTGAGGCTGAAGTGAACCTTCACCTCTTTGTTACTCTTGAATCTCCTTAAAAGTTTATTTACCATTTTTATTGTATTTTAGGTCTAAAACATTTTCCAATGGTTTCTAAAAAGAAAAATATTGATTTCACTGTACAACACTCTCTGCTTATAACTATCACTTGTAACTTCTGCATTAAGCCAAACTCTGGTCTCCCTGAAGATAAATCTGTTACTTAAGTGTTGACACTGCTCCAGTTTCAGTGGTTAGCACTGTCGCCTCACAGCAAGGAGCTCAACTGTTCCAGTCGAAAGGGCGTTTATGTGTGGAGTTTGCGTGGGTTTCCTCCGGGTTCTCTCGCCATGTATGTTAGTTTAATTCTCCTGTAGCTGACAAAGGCACTGGTTTAGAACTGTAGTTGGTCTCTGCGCTGCACAGTGGCTGCCAGTGTTGGGCAGTAACACATAAAATTACAGTAATGCGATTACTTTGCCCAGTAACAAGTTATGTAACTAATTACTAATAAAATGCTAGTGCTTTTCATCTCCCTAGTAACTTTTATAGGTTCCTCCCCTGCTAGTTTGAAGCCTTACCCTGACATTCAAACAAAGACACACATGCAAAAGTCTGAATTCTTGGGAAAAGGATGCAAATACTCACTTAAATGGGTTAAATGCAGATAACTAATTTCACTACAGGGATCAACAAAGGAATAAATAAGAAATTAAAGGTTGAGGTTTTCTTTGCTCATTATGTACAGAAAATATTTTAAATGCCTTTCCATGGTGGATGAAATTGAGTTTTTTTTTCTTGTTTTCCTGCGAATTGTTTCAGATATTCTCCTGTAGGGTGAAAAAGTATCGTGTGCATGCTGCTATCACACCCCTGAAAGCAGAGCAGCTGCTGATGTGAACTCAGCTCAGTGGGAAGTTTTACCATTGATGTTATAAACACACATTTCTGAAGTTCAGTAGTTTTAATAAGGTTTAAGTAATAAAGTCTAGTCCAGATCTGTGGACCTTTACAGAGTCCTTCCCATGGTTTGATTTCCCTTCACACTGAAAGCCACATGGGAACGCTCATTCCTCTCATTGGTTAGAAGGTAAACACAGGAAGAAGCTGCCCAAATATCGAGACGGCAACATACTTTGTTGGCTAGTCCAGGTCAGACTTTGATTCACTCCCTGGCACGATGTCTGTCTGTTCTCTACATCTATTGCATGTCTGTCCGTCCTGGGAGAGGAATCCCATTTTTCCCATTAAAATGTGTTTTTTGGGGGAGTTTTTTCTTACATCAGGGATCCAAGGACAGAGGGTGTAAAGCCCCCTCATTTTGTGACTTAAGGGTATATAAATAAAATCTGACTTGATCAAGGCCAGATCGAGGTCTGGTATGGACATTTGATCTGGGACATTCAGGGAATATAAATGTTTGATTTTACTGAAGTCAGCAGACTGCGCTGTGTCACGATGACAGAAGAGTTGGCACTGCTCACCTGTGCATCATGGGAAACTCTAATAAGTTCAGAGAAGTGCTGATGTGGAACACGATACCTGTACACATTGAAAGAACCTTGACTTTGTACACATCATACAAACTACTTTAAACATTTAGTTTAGTCAGCGTTGATATAATGTAATGTAATTTCCTGTATCTATAATGTCCTGATTTACACAGTAAAACCGGAAAACTTCATTTAACTCAAAAAATTGCTAAAACTTTCATTTTCAAGTTTCAATTTGTAACCTAAAAAATATTTTTGATCAAGTAGCTTTAGTAATTTTCAATGACACTGACTTCATTTTGCAAATTTTGTTTGTACTGTACTTAAATGGGAAAAAAAACTGATTTTGTGTTACTCTATGTAATCAGTTTCAGCAATTTTATTTTTTATTTTTAACTTGAAAATTTCAAGTAAAACTTAATTTTGTAAGTTAAAAAGACTGAGAAAACGTAGTAAAAGTACTCAGGAATGTTTCTTTAACATTCAAATTTGAGTTTGTGTTCGTTTCAATGCTTTTTCTATTACAGTGTAGGCTTGACGTGGATACAGATCATTACAACACCAAGCAGTGAGTGCTGAGTGCTGTTTCCTCTACTGAGTTCAGTATTTCTATAAGGATACTGTAGCTGCTGAAAACACCTGCAGGGAACTGATACTGTCAGGACTGTTGAAATATTCTTGACAAATCAAATTCTTTATGTGGATTAATGGATCACTGATGAATCATCTAGTGTGTGTGGTTTATTCTTCGTAGCTCTGACCCAAATAGACTCTCCTCGTGGGGCTCTGTGTCCACTGGAGCAGGTTAGCTCGCAGTGTGTGATTGGGTGTATTTTTGCGTTAGGGTGTTGTGGCACAACCAGTCATTAAAATGTCTCTCTGTGCCTCTCATCTGTGTGTTCGTACTGTGTTTGTGTGTGTGTGTGTGTGTGTGTGCCATCTTTTGACCAGGCAGAAAGTTGCTCTTTTCCTTCTCACAGCATTTAGGTCTGAGTCAGTAGACACACACACACACACACACACACACACACCCCACACACACCATGGTTTAGTCAGCATAGTGTTTGTAGATCAAATAGACTCACTGAGCAAATGGAAACTCTTTGTTCTTTCTGTCTTTCTTTGTTTTTGCAGCTCAGATTTTAAGTTTCTGATACAAAACAAAATTTAATGTGTTGTTCATATGGGTGGGGGTCATATGTTAAAATTTCCAACTGCCCCCTGTCAGCCCAACCTAACCTTTAAACATAATCTTAAGAGTTGGCTTAAGGCAAACCGAACTTTCAACCATGAGTAATCTGACTACGTTATCTCTGGCACTGCCTTTACAAAATCTTCTACATTTTATATATCACTTCTGTAATGTATTAATGTATTACATTGTATTGTATTGTTTTATAGTACTTGCTGCAGCACTGTACTGATGATATTAGGAACTCATTTGTTCTAATCGTCCCAGGGACATACGGTAAAATTAGCTTATTAGCTAGCACTGGCTCATTTACATTGCAGTGTAAAATGTGTAAATTGTCCCTGGTGAGTAAATAAATAAACAAATAAATGAATAAAACAACCAGCAATTGCCGATATATAGTTGTGCAACTATCAAGAAAGGAAATATTCTAAAACCTATTTCCTTACTGAACAAAAAAATACAACTGTACACCTTCTGGATTCAAGTTTCTCTTTGAGGAGAAGGAACCAAAACCAACCACCATAGTCTTTCCACTGTTCCAACAATGACAAACTCTGGTGTGTAACCCTCTGACTGAGTTAGATGTTTAAATATTCTGGCTCTGCACACTGTTGCTGACCTCCCCGTCCTCACTGTGTCCTGGTCTGAACCGCTGTAAATCATCTTGGCACTGTATTCCCTGCCGTCAAACTGGTCGAAATAAACCCTTAGTTTACGGAGTTAGATGTGAAAATATTCTGGCTCTACAGCTGTTTTTTCCCCTCACTCGTTCTCCGGCTCAGTGTGTGTACTGCACTGCTGAACATCTGGTGCCGAGACCATTAATTTAGCAGATAAAATTACAAAAAAACAGCCTAACCAAAAAAAAAAAAAAGAAACAGTGATGGACAGCCAATGACTGCCAATATGTTCATCCAGTTGCCAAACATTAATAAATATTAATAAATAAGACACTGCAAGCTTATTTGTACTTTTCAACACCAAGGTAATTTAAAGTGCTTTACATAAGACATAAAAGGCATTAAAACTAGATATAATAGAAAGACAATATAAAGAGACATTATTAATATCATTAAAAAGAGTCAAATATAAAAGAAGATCAAAATAACAATAGCCAGATTAAACAGAACTGTGAGTTCTGAATGCTCACCTGTGATTGGTTGTTTTTCCTGCCACTCACCCTGCCTCCTCTGTGATTGGTGTGTCTTTGTGCAGGAGCGGCCGGCTGCAGCCTAGCTGAAGATGTCTGATAATGGGGAGGTCGAGGACAAGCCCCCAGCTCCACCCATGAGGAACATCAGCACCATGATTGGCTCCAGCAACAAAGACCCCGCCCCCCTCAACCACGGCTCCAAGCCCCTCCCACCAAACCCGGAGGACAAGAAGAAGAAAGACCGCTCGATCCGATTCATCCTGACCGGAGGAGGCGATAAAAGTGAGTACTGAGATAAAAAGCCTGGTTACTGGAAACACCCACCTGTCACTTAATTATGCATAACTTGAATGAATTGTATGTGAATTAAAAAAAAAAAATCATCCTCTGATTGTGAATTTAGATATAGAGACCAAGTTAGGCATTTTAATATGGGACCTTATGGAGATTGACTTCTGGAGCCAGTCTCAGGTGGCCATTAAGAGAACTGCAGTTTTTGGCACTTCTACATGCTAGCTCAGCGTATTTGGTCTCTAAGTGTTGCAAGTCTCGTTACTAGCATGCTAGCATGCTACCATCAACAAGTTCTTTTTTAACAAATCACACCCTGAGGCCATGGTGAGTCATTTGAGCCAGTCTCTATAAAATCCAGGGTACTGTTCATCATATTTTCAGCATTTTGGTTTAGTTCCAGGACTCCTTATATCAAAACTCGCCTAATTTTAAAATTAAATTCTTAATTGTTTCCATAATTGCCTCCATGAGCTGTGTGTCACAGTCGCTGCTGCAGCTCCAGTGTTGATAAGGACAGTAACTGACTTCCCGTTGTTTCCAGAATACCTGCATGCATCTTTCCCTTTCTCAGTTTGAAGACCTCTGCTCAAATGATACTGTATCTTTTATCTTTGTGGTGGCAGCAACTTGTAGCCTTCTGAGCGAGAAATTTTTTTCTGAGTTGCACAGAAGCTTAAACGATTATTAAAGTATTTCTGATTCTGATTCTGATTCTGAAATTTTGAATCAGTTGTTGTCCAAAAGTCAAACAAAAGGGAAAAAAACTGACGTTTTAGCAGCAGAAATATGATCCTAAGTCAAATAAACCACTTTAGATATTCAAATGCATAATTTTTTATCATCACATTACAAAATGGCTCCAATTAGAGCCTTTAATTTGTTTTACACAGTGCTAGAATTCATCATTTCTTCAGGCTTTTATCAAAATCAAATAAGCTGTTGACAAATAGTCCAAGATATCATGTTTATGTTATCAGACACAGCTCGATCAATAGTCAGCAAACACATTCAAACCCCCCAGTGTGTCTGTGTATTAGAGCGCTGTAGTTCAGTTTACATCAGTCTGGCCTTATTGTGTCAACGCTGCTATCAGACGCTCTGCAGGACAGTTCAGCTCACTGTACCTTCTCTGAGAGCTTTGAAGGTTTAGCGAGGTGCAGAAATAATTTGTGCTGGTAAGAAAAGAGTTAGTATGGATGTGTTTGTCGTTAACATGTTGAAGTACAGCTGAGTCTAAGGCCAACTGAGGCTGAGTACAGAGGAGTTTGAGGCCGGGATGTCCTAAACTGTCCACCATACAGAGGCTACCTGTGCCACTATAAAGTCCAAGTTAAGCAGGTCGGTAATGAGGAAGAGCGTTCTGCTCAATAGAACTTTTCCTGGATGAAATGAGGTAAAACATAAAAATTCGAATTATAGGTTAAAGTGTGAAAGTTTCACCCAGCCTCACAGGTTCCTGGTGTATGCAGTGTGTTAGTGATGTTTTATAATGGCCTTATTGGTGGCAGACAAACTCCCCATTATGTCTAATAATAATAATAATAATAATAAAGTAGCAGAATGTGGTTTCTCACAAAGAGGTTTAATTTAGCAAGTGATTGTCAGGGGACGGTTTTATTTCTCTGAAGCATCTGAACATTTATAGGAGAACAAAATGATGAATAAATAATAAAAAAAAAATTCTAATTAGTTGAGTTAGTCCACAATCTCTTCACGTACCCTCTGGCAACTGCAGAAGAACTCTGGTACACATAATGTCACTGAGACTTCAAGACAATATAACAAACATGTATCACTGAATTAATTGGGGAAACATGAAATGTACGATTATGTATGCTTAACAAAGACGGCTACAGGAAACAAAGTGTACTAGAATTCAGATTCAATGATCAGTTATTATCTATTGTTTACTGATCCAGTAGGAAAGGCCAGAACATTTAGTGAAGCGTGCAGTGTTTGCAACAGTAGACATTATATAAAAGAATATAATCATGTTTACAGTGTTATACATTGAGACAGATGAGTGTGGCCTTATTGTGTCAGTACTGAGAGCAGATGCACTCACTCATAACCTCCTCGTAACCAGCAAATTATTTCCGTTGCATCATCTATACAGTGTCTCTGTACAGCCGCTGGTGTACTGCACCTACACTGAAACTGGAACCTGTTCTTTATACTGGATCGGTATCGAATCTGATACTGATTTTAGTAATTAGATTGATGAGACCAATCCACATTAAACACTGAAGCTGTGCAGCTCATTACCTGCGGCTTTTCATCTAACTGTTCGCTGCAGATGCTCCTTCCATCACTCCCTGATATATTTCAAAATTATGTTAAAAAAGTCTTGTTGTAAAAGAGTCTAGTTTTGGTGGCTCACCTGGTACTGATGGTACAGGCTGATGTCAATGAGATTAAATTACTAACTGTAATGCTGGATTATAGAAATGCTGATTTCGGGAGAGACGGACTCAGCCACTAACAATGAAAGCTACTTTATAAAACTCACTCACCAAAATAAAAGTGTTGGAGTGGTAATTAAACAATGCACTCTCAGAGACAGAGGAACCAGTGCTCCAACAGTTTTACATGCCTCACATCACATAGCTGGCCTACTTTAGACAATACATACATGCATGTACTCACACACTGTTAATCTTTGTGCTAAAATAAGCTAACTGGCTGCTGCCTGTAACCTTATGGACAGATATGAGAGTGGCAGCAATCAGAAAGCAAATAAACATATTTACTTTAAGAATATTATTTGTGTACTAGTGTACTGTGTTTTATACTTCATGGGGTTACTTATTGCTATATTTGTTCTATGTGATGCATGCTTTC